AATCTGCCGTGGCCACCACACAGACATCCAAACAACCATACGTTGAAGGATAATGCCTGACGGCGCCGACCGTCCAAGAATCGCCGACGCGCGACGAAGAACAGCGTACAGAGAGAGGATCGGAAAACACTGACTCTTTGGTGCCACTGACGATAACAACCTCCATCTCAAGATCAGCAAACGCAAGGAGCTAGATTGGGACTGACAGGAAAGCAGAGCTGGAGAGAGGGAAAACAGCCCTCATCCCGGTCAAATGGGACTACGGTGGAGAGGTCAGCAGACCTCAGTTCCTCTGGGTCCAACATCAACTGAGGACACTGACATGGACTCACTTCACACTAACACCATCACCGAACAGCATCGAAAGCGGCTCTTCTCCTCACGCAGGACTGAGGACGGTTAAACCATAGGACCTCCCAGCATACTCTGCAACTTACTACAGGGAACCATAGAAGAGCCGAGTCACTGACAGGCTCCTCGACTGGCTGCATCTACGGCTGGTACGGCAGCGGCACCGCCACTCAACCGTAGCTTTACAAGGAGAGGTGGTGAAAGACTGCACAGCACATCACCAGGACGGAGCTGGCCATCCATGGAGACCTTTGACTCCAGCGATCAGCGAATAAGCCCCTCCGGATTTACAAAAAGGACCCATCACCCCGCCACAAAAACTGTTCCTGTCTGCTTCCGTCTGGCAGGCGTTACCGCCGCAGTTACCGCAGCATCAGGACTAAAACCCCCAGATTCAGAGACAGTTTCATCCCACAGGCCATAAGAATGTTAAACACTTGAACTTTTGAAGAACATACATAACATTCATCTGTTTGCAACTCATATATCAATATTCCAATTACTGTATATAGAATATTCTGCACTGTTATTATATTTTTTTGTTTTTACTTGTACTATTTTAACTGTGCTATTGTGTTGAACTGTTGGATGAGCCTGTGACCTAAGATTTTCATTGTCATAACTACAGTGTAGCTATGCACACAATAAAAGCCTTGAAACTTGAATCTTAACGTTTGAACTATCTCTGATTAGGTGGCCCCCTAGCCGACACTCTGCAAGAAGTGAGGGTCCCAATCGTGGGAAACAATGAGTGCACATGTGCCTACTACGATCTCACAGACAACATGATCTGTGCTGGGTTAAGAGCTGGAGGGAAGGATTCATGTCAGGTAACCAACTTTTTGTGTATTTACTCTCTATAAATACACTTTCTTCGGAAATGTCTGAAAGACTTTAACCACCTACAAAAACATGCAGGGGACTCGAGCCCCTATATACTTTTAAGCAATAGAACATCACTGAGGGAAAAACTTCCAGACTTTTTGTTAAGCTAGGCTAAAAACATAATTGACACAGCCAACAAATAAACACACAGAGTTGAAGCCAAATGAAGTTCTTGTAACTTTCATTCAGACATGGAAAAAGCCAGCTTTCGACATAATGACTAAGATAAAGCTTCATACATTTATTTTAAGGGAGGTCAGACTAAAACAAACAAAGAGCCTTAGGGGAATCATGCTTTCATATAACCTCAACATCAATTTCTTTCTACAGGGAGACTCAGGTGGACCAATGATGATCAAAAAGGGTTCAGTCTGGATCCAGAGTGGCGTCGTGAGTTTTGGAGAAGGCTGTGCCGCGCCAAAGTTTCCTGGAGTTTACGCCCGTGTGTCCCAGTACGAAGACTGGATCAAAAATCACACTGGCTCTAGCAAACCAGGCTTTGTTGACTACATGTCCCAGGAGGTTGATAGCGACTTGGACTTTGTCTGTCCCACCGCCGATCCCACAACCCAATACCCCTATCCCACAACCCAATACCCCTATGCCACCACCCAACACCCCCAAACCACCGATGACGGCAGTGTGTTTGGCAGTGGTGAGAGAGTGATCTCCTCACTCGGTCTTCTCCTTATGTCTCTCTATGTGCTGGTCGGAGGCATATAAACATGGAGATGTTGAAGTAAGACAAGTTTAGGGTTTCTGTGCCCAAATGGCTCATTCACTTGATTAGATATGAGCCCTCATTGATTTATCTACTTCTTTGCCTTTAATTTAAGTGTAAAGCTAATCTTGATTCAATTTCTGGTGGAAAGGCAATCATTTTATAACATAAATGGAGACGAGTGGATTGATGTAAAGTTTGGGAAAAAGATCAATGACTTTGCATTCTCCTGTAAAGAAATGTTTTTCCAGATATAACGTAATAAAAACTAAATAAATCAGATTATTTCCGTGAACATTTTTTTCCCTTTTCTCGGGTCAACAGGACTATAAAAATCAAAAGAGTTTGGGTTGATGAGAGCTTTGAGAATGAAGAAAAACAGTAAAGTTTCTAGCTAGTGCTAACTCTTTCTGGGTTCATTCCTATGAGAACATTCTTTAACATAACGCCTAGTCATTTGACCAATGGTTTGAGTTAAAAATAACAACTGTGGCTCAAAACGTATATCTGTCAAGAGCTTTTAAAAAAATATACATATTGAAATATATTTTTATACAAGAGGAACTACAACTACTGCATGAACTTGAAGACCTGAAAAACTGGAAGCTCTGGTTTCTTCTATACTTCCCACAGAGCTCACCAGAATATACAGGTCAGATGTATAAAAGGAAACAATATGGAATAAGAGTCTTCAATACTTTGGAGCGCCCTTTTTAATGCTTTCTTAAATAATAGGTCTCTTTTGTAAGGGTGTACTTAAAAATACATAATTCAGGGTTCATACACTTTTTCACCAATGATTTTCAATGACTTCTCCATGACCTTTACCTAATTTTCCATGACCAAAACAAATTACTATTTCTCAGCGGTACCACTGAAAATGGTTTGTTTTAACATGGAACAGGAAAATAAGGTCTGCATATGAAACATGTTGTGCCTATCTAAAACAAATCCAATAGTAGGCTTACTAGCTTCTACACGCTTAAAGCAACTGTAGTCAGTGATGCAAACTCATCAGGTATGAAAAAGGTGACAAGGATCCGAGCCCCCCCCACCCCACGGAATATCGGTTTCAAAATTAGGAATAACAAACAAATAACTTTTAGTCTAACTTCTTGTTGACATTGCCTGGGAACGGCAACAATAGTACTAATGATATGGGATGTAAGGACTTGAAAGGTCGCCTCCACCCCCCCGACGTGACCCTTGTTCTCAACCCGCGGCCCCTCTCGACAGAAGAAGGGAATGTGGCGAAGTGTTACGATAATAGAACCCGAGAACCTTGTACTTCAAGTCTAAGGGACTTGTCTTCAAACAAATAAGATTTATTTTTAGTGGTGTCGGTGGGGCTTTATTTCTTTTTTATTTTTAACTTATATAAAAATACATAACCCGAGTGCTTATCCGGCTGCTAGAGGCATTCGGGGACCCTGAAGTCGGGTCCAGTCCGAGGCACACGTATTCCGCCGGGCAGCGCGTCTACATACTTATCCCATTTTTCCTGACTGAGCGTCACAAGACCGACAGCGCTAAGAGGTAGTAGCTAGGAAGGGAAAACCTCATTTTTTTGTAGACGACAATGACGGAGTCATTGTCCACTTGTGTGTCAAAAGTTACGGCGAAAACAAATTTACGGAGATTATGAGTCTCGCTGGAGAGTAGCATTAATGGAAAAACCAGAAAGTTAGCCAGTGTCAAATAAAAAGTTTAGAAGGAAAGACACAGTACCCGGGGCTTTTGAAAAAGTTTTCCGGAACACTTTCTGTCCCACACTCTTTATAACGTCAATGTAAGACAGAACCTCTGAGTAGAAACAAAACTTGATTCACTTTTTACTGTGGTAAGGGTGCCCAAATGGACATGCCAGTAATTTTTGGGACCTTTTAGTACCTTAAGTTTTACGTTTAAGCTCCGGGACCTTTTCAACACTTTTGTTATAAATAAGGGTTTCCAAAACCTTTTCAGTAACCTTTACATTGATTCATAGCGCTAGTTTATATTATAATTGTAAACTAGGTTTAACGGTTTTATTAGACGCTAGTGTCTGACATATATCACGTAGTACTCCGCGTACCCACAATAAAAAAAATTATATACTTCGCGCTCGACACACGAGATCACAGGACGGACAGCCCGGCCGCTTGAGACGACGAGGCCCTACTCCCAGTTGGAAGTCTCGATGGTAATGTTCCACCGCAAGCAATTGGTCATTGACACGCATCTCAGTGATACCGTTGTGTCCCGAGAGTTCAAAACTTGTTTCTCAAGTCTCACTGCTAAAACCGTCGCCACAAACCGTAGGTTGAAGACCGAGGGGAGTTCAAGGGTATCTTCGGGAGAATGGGCGGCCTTACAGTTGCCCCCCCCCCCCCCCGACTACCTCATTTAGCTTTGGGGAGACCATAGCGCCTTACAGTTGCCCCCCCCACAATCACCTCACGTGCGCAGAGGTTGTTCGGGAATCAAACGAATGTTTTAACGCCGCAGTTGGAACCACCCGGCCAGGGACTTATCTTAGAGACGCCTCTTTATGTTCTACACCGGCACACTCGCACACTTACCCACTTTCGCACTCAGGCACTCTGCCACTCTCGAGACGGTGTGTTACATACGATCGATCGATCGTATGTAACAGGATAACGATTGCAATCGAAGATCGGGAGAGGCAGAAAGATTATCAAAAGTATCCGGATACTTGTCTCCAACCTATTCATCGGATATCTATAACCCTGATCTCATTTTCATGAGTATAGGCGGACGTGTTCGTGGTGAGCTCTAAATTGGGCGGGAGCGAGCGCTAGACGAAGTCGTGCTTGTTTTTTTTTTCTTCCATGGTCTCACATCCTTATGAGACAAAGTCAATTCAGGACGTTAGTCTTAACAATGGCGTTCATTTTATTGTTTTCAATTAATAGTAGTTGTTTACATGAAATTTCATCGCTCGTCATTACTTCATGCGCAGTAACACGTCTAACCAGGTAAAGTCTTTATTATATAGTATACAAGAATGATTGACTAACCTAGTAATTTCACAAGCAGGTTTCGGACCATTTCGAGTCGATCAAACATATGAGCCCCAGAAGACACTTAAGTGAGGCCCACCTTGATTTCAGGACTAAAATTCCTGAACTAATATAAAGTCGTAGGAAAGTAGGTTTAGACGTTTCATTGATTTCCATAATTTATGGGTAAATGAGGACTTCATCTCTATCTCATGTTCATCGATTTTGTAACTTTATGAATTTCCACCCCATTTCATTAAAACCCTTTGGTTCGAGCTCACGCGAATCTTAACTTTTTTATGTGTTGGTCTTGTTTAGACGGTGAAGGAATGTCTGCCGGAGGAGGTTGTGTGTGCTTTGCGCGCGTACTGGTATCTCCCGTCGCTCTATTCAACGACGTGTCTACCTTCCGCTGTCCGTCCATCGGTAGTCAATGAAATCGGCTGAGTTCTACTACCAGCACGAAAAATGCGCGGGTGCCGAAGGGTGGTCTACTGTGAAAAAATTTACCTACAACCCAACAGTTTCGTGAAGTCTAAAGTAACGATAGCCCTAAATTCTCGTAAGGGTACATCATAGTTGGTTGTTTCACATAGAGCTCGTCCAAGAGTTGAATTGGATGGGGTGGAAGATTCATTTCGTGATGTATCAGAGGAGGTTTTAACATGGTTTTCATATATGGACCCCACTCAAAATACCTTGAATTCAATGAAATGCGGCGACCGATATTTCCGATCTTCTGATTCGAACGTGTCTCCGTATTTTGTAAAAGGTTACGGTTGTCACGACGGTTTAAATTTGACCTTGACGGATTGTATTTTATACGAAATATATAAGATAATCTAACTGAGAAACGCAAAGACAATAAAAATAATGTGACGGACGAACTCAACAAGACTGCNAATAAGGTCTGCATAGGAAACATGTTGAGCCTATCTAAAACAAATCAAATAGTAGGCTTACTAGCTTCTACATGCTAAAGCAACTCAAATCTCTCACCAGCAAAATACCTCGTCAGTTAAATGCCATTTTAAGTTTCATTTCTATACGATACAATATTTATTATCATTATAGTATTACTATTTCGACGATTAGATAAAATGTAAATTATATTTGATGCAACTTTAGTTACATTTCCATGACTTTTCCAAAACTTTGGGAAAAATATTGTTTTCCATAACTTTTCCAGGGCCTGGAATTTGCATTTTGAATTTCCATGACTTTTCCAGGTTTGTAATGACCGTAAGAACCCTGAGAGATGATATACAGTGACTTGTGAATGATTAGCAGAATATATTGGACACTGACTTTGTGACCCTGTCGATGGCCTGCACATGCAGATTTGTGTGAGTCCCAGCCAACACAGCTTCATGCTGCGCACACTGCAGACACAGTCCTGCCACACGGGGCGCTCCATCAGCCCGCAGTGCGTCTGCAGCCTGCTTCTCCCGGTGTCTCAGGCGAACCTTCACCTCCTCACACTCCTTCTGACTGACAGACAGATCCTTCCTGAACAAGAAAGCAGGAAATAAGATAACTCCTACAATTCCTACACATAGAAAAGAGAGAAAGGAAAAGCCATGGTAACTGGACAAAGGTAAAGTAAACTGACCTGAGGGAGATGACCTGAGCCTCTAAGCTTTCAAACTGAGCCTGGTAGATCACTTTCAATTGCTCCTAATGAAAAAAGAAATGCCAGTATGCCATTTGAAATCACTGCGTATTAAGAGTTAATACATCATTATGATTAAACAGGATGGGATGTGTTAATGATTTTACCACATTTGTCCATAACAATGGATACTTGGACAATAATGGTACACAGAGAATAAGCCCATATTTTCTTATACAACATAAAATACTTTGATAATACAAACATGTCATGACTTGAGGAGTATGTGGGTTAGATATAAATGAGGAGAGCTGAACGGTAACATTGGAGAAAGCTGATCCATAATCCCTACCATTTCATTTTTCCATGTGGAGTGTTCTGCTCTGTGCAGCATGCTGTGGCTGTCGGCTGCCATACTCTCATTGACCTGAAGAACACATCAGCACAGATATAAGACTGTTAAACACCTGAACTGTTGAAACAACATCCACAATATTCATCTGGCTGCTACTTAAAAAGTATTTATCTATAAACCTAAAATATCATATTTCAATGACTTGCATAGACTCTTATTTCACTTTTTTAAACTATTTTCTTCTTGTATTTACTATTTACTTGCACTATATTTTTCTGTTTATCTGTGTTTTGTGTTGCACTGTTAGAGAAGCCTGTGACACAAGATTTTCATCAACATAACTACACTGTAGCTATGTTCGTTTGACAAATAAAGGACCTTGAACCTTGAGGCAGTGTTGTCAACACTTCTACTGTAAAGTGTTGAGTTCATTTTGTGAATTTGTTTTGAAAAGCATACTGGATGTAACAGAGTTTGAACTAGCTTTTCCTAAAGATAACTGTGATATCTACAACTATGCTGCATTTCTGCATTCAACTGACAACATGTAAAAAAGAAATAACATCACAATTATTTCATTCTTTTTGACGTATTATGAAGTATTTATGCCCTTTTATACTGTAGAAAATGAGAATGTACAAATATTCTTCTTTCCTCATTATCACAAGGACACATTATTATTACCATGGAGTTTCTCATGGTGTAGTCTTTTAGTGATTCATCCGCAGCTCTTGATTTGAGGTCTGACTGCAGCTTCTCATTCTCCACCACCACCACTGTGATCCGCTGCTTCATCCCCTGCAGCTCCTCCTGAAGTCACACACACATAGAAATGAATTGAATCGTATCCAAATTAGGGATGCCAGTGATTATTCGATTATTCGAATATTCGTTACAGTCTCCATAATCGAATATTATTTTTAAAAATCGATTTTATTTATATATATTTTAATTATTATTTATGTTTGTTTTTTTTTCTGGCTTAGTTTCAACCAAAATATAGACTAATGCTAATAATAGTAATAGTATTAATAATTGTAAATGGCCATTGGTCACACCACCAGTTTGTTTTACTGTAAACTTGGAGGAATCCTGCGTGCAGAGCAGACTGCTGCTGCAGCACGCTACACAC